CTTTGCTTCTTCCACGTGTATTGTAAAAAACATTGCCTGTAGGTAATTTGCTGATTAACTGACTGACGGGTTGACCGACTAGCTTGTAATGAGAAACGGCTTTTGTGCCTGCGTGCTCTATCTCTTGCCAAGCAGTTAACAATCTTTTTTTGCATTCTTGAAGCAGCATTTCCTCCCTGGAAGACTCCTAGATACCCTACTTCCAAGGATAAAAGAAGATTTTTTTTTGGCTGGTGTCTTATCAAAAAAAGGCTATAACAATTACATATTTAAGAGATAAAGTGCTTAAAGAAACTCGCTGCCATCACTTAATTTTTGCGATTAGAAATCGTACAAACTTATTTGTTGACCTACCGATAACTTGTACTTTAGGTGAGGCGATTCAGTTTCTTGCAATTCCCAGCCTCTAAACGATTTGTGCAGACAAATTGTCTAGAACTTCTAAAAGACCGAATGATATGTTTCCCCCTTTTTAAACTCCTCAATTGTAACTGTTTGCAGTTTCTACATCAAATGCCTTTTTATTCGACTCATGTGTGTAAAGGGTAGTAAAAGTGGGTGATTCACCACTTGAAGTCGGATCACTGACTCCAGGTGGAAGAGAGTGAAGAGGTAAGCACTGCCTGCCGCTACCCATCACCCAATAGGAATGAAATGGGGGAGAGGAAGAGGGCAAAAAAGAGGCGAGGCATTCGTGTCTGCAATAACAGATGTCCGTTTAGAAAATTTTCTTGATCGAATAAAAAGGAAACAAGGAAACGGAAGGGAATGAAGGCTAAAACTATCACTAGGGATTAGCCATCTTGGAGGGGATCGGAAAGTACTCTTTCTGTCCAGATGTGTATGGTAAACATAATTTTGCATATTCCTGCCAAGCTGACCGACATACACGAACTTTTCAATCTCTAAGTTGACTTGCACACATCAACAAATGTTCGTAAAACTATGAGAATCCTGAATCATGCAATACCCACGCAGGTGAGAGCACAGGTTGCGCTAAAAGGAGCCATTTGTCAGCATTAGTAACACTTTGAAACAATGGTTATGCAAGCTACAAGATGCTTGGTGGGTTTTTTATCACGAGGCAGTGATAAATCCTGGAAAGGTAGGGAAAATTCAGGGAGTGGGACTTCGCACAATACTATAGCGATTAAAGCAAGGGTTACGTGGGGTTCACAGGAGACCTCGCTCCAATAGCTTGCTCTAACTTGTAGAGACTTGTTGGTTTACGGTTGCTGTACCCCGCATTGTGACCCCCTTCCTCCGGATATTTTCCCCGTGAAGCAAGGTCAAATCAGTTGCAAGAATGTAGAAATCAACTCCCCTCAAATCTGGTGGGGTAACAGACTATGCAGCAGAGTATCAGGTGGCTTTACCTACTTGATTCTGGTGACGTAAATCAGGGACAGGTGGACGCTTTGGTGCCACATCTGTTATTCAGAAAGACGACTCCTTATTCTTCAATATACTTGGAATAATTCGAGATCAGCGTGGCAATAACAATCACTGATGGTGAGATAATTTGTTTGCATTTCCACCATCTGGAAGAATCAAGTCGTACTAGAAGCTAAGCAAATGAACACCTGATAATGAACTTGAGACACCATCAATTTGTCAATCTCCGTCTCTTTCACACGCACTATAAAAACACGTTGTCAGTCGATTCTTCACTGACTGACCGGCTAATTGGCCGACTGACTGGTTAAGTGACTAACTTGTGTCAGGCAAGAAAACCTTCTTACTGCTCGCCTACCTCGCGCCTCTGAGGCAAGCGCCACCTCGCTCCAGGAGACTAGGCTTTGTATGCGCCTGTGGTGAACTAAAGGTACGGTTTTTTACTAAGACTTGTTTACTTGCTGAAAACCTGACAATCATGCCAGAGGTGGATCCCTTCGATAGTACTCGGTGTGGAGCGGCACTTCTCTTTGGGTTCAGAGGGGAGCAAAGAGAAAGCTCCTCCCATCCTCATCCTCAAAGCTACAGCGCTAGAGAATCACCTGATCATGTGTTGGGAGATAAGGGTGAGATTGAAATGAAAGTGGCAAGGGCTGAAAATTAGGTACAGAAGCTCGCAAAAATGTGGGATTCGCATTAATCATGTGTCTCGTTGAGAAAGGATTATGTGTGAGCTGTAACAGTGATTAAAAAACTTTCCACAGTTATCTAGTTTATGCTATAAAATCCCACAAATTCAGCTATCGGAAGCTTTTCAGATAAACCTCCTTTTGAGGCAGGAAGTTACACAAAAGAAAAAAAATGTTTTGGATAAAAGAATGACAGTTTCACTGCTTCGAGAGGAGCACCCACTGAGCTTTAAAAAGTTGAAAATAAAACAGTTAGTCATCTTTACAGACATATTTTTCCCTTTTTTTGGTAAAGTAAAAATACGGCACACACGATCAAGTAGACAATAGAAATAGTCGTTTTCTTCATCCTCCAGGCGTTCAAAAGCACACCTAAGCCATCAGCTAGGTCATGACGTTATGCAACCCAAATGAGGCAAGAAGAAGGGTTTCCTGAATTGTAACCAACTCGAGAGGAAAGAATGACACCTGATTCTACTTAAAAAGTGTGTGGACTGACCTCTTTGTTTTGAAACCAATTACGGCCTCCACTTTGATGCAGACTAATTCCCTGCATCGAGGCCACTATTTGGTCACGAGTCTTGTCAATATTGAGGACTTCCAGGTAAAAAACAGGCCTCGCAACCCTTCAATAAGTTGATAGTCAAATTTGAAGAAAAGTGTTAGCCCAAATCAAAGGCTATCGGACAGATTGAGTAGACAATAAGGAAACACACAAAGGATACATATCCGACGAGTAGAAAAACTCCGCTGACATGGGAATAGAAGACACTGTATTCCCTTAAAGGAGAAGTGACATCTATAGCTGTTTTTGGATTTGAAAACAATAACTACCAAAATTTGCGTGTTGACAAAGACATTAGGCAGTCTTCCGTCCCCATCTCCTGACACTTCGTCAGTCTATTCCGCACATCGTATATGCCTGAACTGGATGCGATAGATGCCACACGTCCTTCTACACAGCTTTTGAACTCGGCTGAGAGAAAAGCTTCTTGGAGCCTTCAAAACATCCTAGAATTGGCGTTCAAGCACACTTCAAGTCCGATTATTCATGAATCATTGAGGGTTATGGGAAAAACTGGTAACTTACACAAAGGTTTTTGTGAATAGCCGACCTTGTATCACTTCACTTCAATGCTTAAGATCTATGGAGAGGCTCTTATGTAAATATGAGATCTGAATTAAGTGTGTTAGTCACCCGCGCCTCTTCGAGGCATTGAAATAGGCGAGCAGAGAACGGGAAAACCTCGGACTTGGAAGCAGATATTACATAGAATAGATGGCAGGAGGATAATCCATTCAACAAATAAAAAAAGGGGCCTTTAAAATAGAGCAAATATTGTAGAAGAGACACTCAATTATCGAGTAAACTTTTCCAGAGACCACGCCTAATGACACTGTTGAACTTGAAAGCAATATCCCGCCGAATAGACGCCAGGCGGCGACTAAATTCACATGAGTGATGTCATCTTGTCTTGGAGATGATCATCAATACCCCCACTTGCACGTGCCTAACGAAGTCAGTAAATAGGATTTGGATCAAATTAACCCCTAAATGCAATAATCAACGTTTGACAGCCCTCCCTCTCCTTTCCTTTCCTTTCCTTTTTCGCCTCAAAAACTGCGAAAAATACAATTTTGGATGCTTTATGACACAAATAAGCCTTGGCAACTGAAGTCGTACTTCCATTTAAATTCAAAACTGATTATGTCTAGTCTTTTTGATTAAGTACGGTAGAGAGGATCTCGTCGTTCACTACGTTTATGCAATCGTCGCGATCATACTTTGTGCAACGCAGGCAGACTAACATTACAGACCACTTGCAAACAGAAAAAAGGAGATAATGTTTATGCTGTCTCCTAACCTAATTAGAGAATATTGCCTTGCTTGGTGGAAATCTACTTGTGCAAACTTATTAATTTGGCAGTCGAAGAAGGCATGTGCCTTCCCTCGTAAGGCTCCATTAAGTCCCCCTATACCATGCTCCTCTCTACGCATAATCAGACTAATGCAGCTTTTGTGTAGGTAAAAGTTTCCGGGGAAAACAGCTTTTTGGAGAAGTCTGGAAGAGATCAGAATGTCTCTAGGCCTAACCTAAAGGTGAATGGGTTGGAACCACCGATGACGTCAATGCACAAGCAGATATTGCTCGAGTAGCAAAGTGGTAGAACAGAACTTTACGAGTTTTGAAAAGTTAGGGTGTGGCGATAATTTAGTTGAACACAAAAGGGCGAAATGTAATGCTAACGGCGTCACTTTCGTTTTTGGTTCCAACTTCTTGCGCCCTCTTTTGCTCCTCTCATTCCCCCATCCCCGCCTCATTCATCGCCTTTACCTACCCATCACGGTATAGGATGCCCTGATTGTGAGGAGACGAAGAATGCAGTCATCACAACAAAGTCACAATACCGTAGGTTATGTGCATTTCTGGAACTGTGATTGTCATCTGTACCATACCCAATCGCGGTGTTGATCTTTCAAAAGCCGTGCTTATTTTCTGCCCGTAGTATCAAATAAATCTGACCTCTGTTCGATTTGCCAGTTTTTAATTAGTAAGTAGTAAGATAAGCATGCCATGGCTTGTAATTTAAGAGGTGATTAGATGCATAGAGGAGACACAGGAAGCACAAAAATGCACTGAGTACTAAAGTCAACCAACTCATGACATTTGACGGCTCTTCAAAAAGTGTGATCGGCAAACCAGAATCTGTGCTGCAATTAGGGAGAGGCAGGAAGACTATAGCCGTTTAGAGGTAAAGGGATACCGAAAACTAGAGCATCAGAGACAAATTTGAATCTATTGCGACACAGGCGAGAGCATTAAGTGAGAGAGTCAAATTAAAGTGTATATGAGGTGCACTAAGAGGCAGGTGAGAGTAGAATAGAGAGGGCGACACTAATTGATCCTGGTTTACCTCGAGGGGATGTGAGTCATGTGTTGGAGAAAGAGACTTAAGGAGGGCTATGATATGGATCGAGTGTGCAAAACCTAAAGGAGGGGGAAGGGAGAGAGGGGGCTTCTTTTTATGCAGTCTTAACTGACAGGATTCAGAGGGATCACACAACGCAAGTCGACTACTTTTTGTTTATTTGCACCTTTGGAAAGGGAGAGATAGGTGGATGGAGAGCTCGAGAGGGAAATGCCCTCTAATTCAACCGAAAGTGTTAACTTAGTGACAATACGTCACTCCAATGACATGACCTATTAAATTTAGAGATAATCTATCATTATCAGCCTTACTGAAAGGTCATTTGACGAAAAAAGAACCTTAATGATTACTTCCTTAGTCTTTGTTAAATTTCGGATTTAAGGAGACTAAATAGCACTTTAATGTACACGATATGCATTACAATTACACCGGATTAAGTGATCGCCATCACAAGCGGAAATTTTCTAGTATTTTTCGACATTCGCATAAAAGCTTAAGTCACATTATAGTCGAGTAAATGCAGGAGGATAATCAAGAACACGCTCCATTAAGCAAATGTGTGGCTGATTTCGAATATGTGAGAGTTGAGCAAAGGCGAGGAAAAGTGATAAATAGAAAAAAAGAGAAGTCATAGTAGATGGATTTCATTCAATCAAATTTATAATTTCTCAGTTTTACAAATAATTCTGTGTGACTTACTGCCACCTTTGGAGGGTTTCACTATAAGTGGATTGAATGTGAATGCTTCGGAGCATTTAGCAGAGCTGTTCCTCTCGGTTATTTTTTTGCCGCTGTTGTTGTTGCCAATGGCGCCGCCAGCATCGCTGTTGTTCTTGCTGCTGCTATAGTTGTTCCGGGAGGAGTGACTGGAATGCTTCTGCTGATGCGCTGTCAAGCCTTTAAGGGTGCTGGAGGATGCGGTGGACCCAGCAAATAAGATCCTGTTTTCGTTTATTCTATCACCTGATGATCGAGGATTGTTTACTGTATTAACGTTGTCAAAGTTATAGTCCTCTGGTTCGTCAAAAGTCGACGAGGAGTCAGAGTCCGAATCCAATGCGGATCGATATCGGTCTAGGCTGTCCACATCATCATAACTTTCTTCTGAGGGATAGTTGTATTTAGTGATCAATTCATTATCATCCTTAAATGTGAGCCTCTTTTTATTCTATAAAATTATTAACAAAAAGGCACATTACTCCTCACACACTATTTAAGAAATTATTAAAAAATCAACAAAAGACGAACCTCAACTCCTAATGAAGGACGACCCTTTTTCAGGATAGATCGAATGCTGGAATTAGTAAAGTTAGAATATGACCGTCCTGTGCTGCTAGTTATCGATGATGTTCGTGAAAGGTTTAGTGGTTCTCCGTTTAGCAAAGTCTTACCGACGGTTTCAGTTCCCCTTTTTTTTAGTTTATTCAAGACAGTCTCTTGCTGCCTCTCGGCCTGGTATGCCACCCAGCGCCCAGTAAGATCGTAGGAGGATTGATCCACCTTAAGGCCGAATTGTTCCTTCAGCGCCTCATCGTATTTGTAGTGCGTACGTAAGCCATCATTGCTGTAACCACTTAGTATAGACTTCGGTTTTTTAGGAATCGGTGGGGGCTTCTTAGAGGGATTTCGTGAAGAAATGGACACAGACGAGAGTGCATCACTTTCATTTCTTTCTTTATTTGTCTTAATGCCAACATCATTCCCCGACACTGCTGAGTGTTTAGAGCCAGGTTCATTGGAAGAAATAGGCAATCTCGAGGGAGGAACATTATTTTCCTTCGTTCCATTAGCAGCCTTGTATCCAAGCATAGAAGATCCTACTGCGGAGCCACTTTTTATTTTTTCATTATTATTAAGAATCTTGAACTTGTCTGATGATTCCGGTTGAACAGTGGGAGCTGTCTTACGATACACATGGGGTTTAGGTTTGACTTTTGGAGGGGTGAGTTTGTTCCTGGATTGTTCCGTTGAAGCCATATCTACGTACAATCGTTCGCTTGAGGTACTACAAGACAAAACGCTGTTTGCATGGCCGTTTTGAATATTAACACTTTTCGCAAGATTACTGTGGCTATTAGAGCCACGAGATGTTCCATTGTGAAGGTTATCATGACCATTTATAAAAGATCCTGATTCTGAATTTCCACCGTTTTCAAATAGCCTCTTCATGGCTTCTACAGTCCCAGCCGCAGCCATTGCCATTTTCTGGGAGACGATAGCCGAAAAAACTAACCATGTGGTGCGGGGCTTACAGTGAATTCAAACAAGATCAAGTGGGTGATGCATTGTCGGTTTCAGTTGTTTTCAAACTATGCTCTAGCTAAGAGCAAAACAAACACTTTCATAATTTTTGCGCTTTTTTAACAACAAAGAATATTCACTGATAATTGACGTGGCAGACCTGCACTTATAAATTGTTTTAATGTACCAAAACAAAATTTTTATACAACAATTTACGGTGTTTTAAATTAAATATTAATTGATGCTGGCTATTTATACTTGTTTTTGGTTCAACTTTAAGCCTCTAATGAAAAATATCCCATGCAAAATAATCTCAGTCGGGTTTATATCAATATAGTGCTATGCCTAACTGCGGGACACTAGAGTCTCTAAGGGTTGTGCTGCAGTTCTGCAGCATGGTCTTTAAAACACGCTAGTAGCCCGACATCTCTTCCATATATTATTACCACACGTTGTTCCATACCAATTTGCCCAAGTACTAATTCATAAAATACTCCGGACGTTACAATTACAGATTCCTGGCTTTGGTGGTAGCGACGGATCAGCTTAAGTTTACTGAGAGTGGAGGGCTTTCTGATACCCTTTTGTTAGTCTTATTTACGACATCAGGTTTGCTTCAGTTTCCTATATCAAAGAAAATTGCCTAAATACTTCCCTAGTATTCTTGTGAAGTGCCTCCCCACAAACCTCATTTCGACAGAAAGTAGCAACCTTGATCGGTACAGGTGCGTGTACATTACTGTGCGTATACATTCTCCAACCGCTAACTCTCCTTTGTTTTCTTGTCAAACTGCTCGATTAAGTTATCGTAGTTGAACCAAAAGGCTTACTTCCATAAGAGATGTGATTTCACCGCATTTATAATTTTAATCAAATAGCAACGCCCTAGACAACAATAAATACTACATTTTATTTTCGTTTCTCATGAACCTTAAGCTTCAAGAAATTTATTTTCTCACATGCTCCGCTTACTACCAGGACCTCCATGGTAAAACCTAACATGACAATCTAAGATGACACTAAATGCTGCTGATTCCTTTACTATCCAAACTGCCACTAGGAACCCATCACACTTACTCTACCTTTGTAAAGTCACCCACTTGGTAGCAAAATCTCGCGTGACCAGTTAACATCCGCCAGGAAATGCTACTTTCGGCTTTTGTGGCCTGCGGTCCAGGTCAGCGTGACGCTGATGTAAGACCTGTTGAGTTCCCTTTTAACCGAGTATCATCACCCCTTGGTGTCTATTTAAAAACCTAAGTTTCAATTAACCGCACTCTTAATCTCCCGTTAACAGTTCCATTTCCTATTTAAATGTCTGAGACTACTATCTTAAAGTACGTACACATTTTCGATGCCAAATTTCCCCAAGCCAAAATGCGGAAAAGATCAAGAAAAATTACTTTGCATATTATTGCCCTAGATAGTCCACAGCTTCCTTTCCTTTGGTGTAAACTAAGTGAGAAAGGCAGAGATGTGTAGAAAGGCGAGACGCGAAAGTAAGGCACGCTCTCCACTCCGTGCACAGGCTACTTGATTCCCTTCTTTGCAAATTCCTGCACAACGACAGCGAACACTTCATCAATGGTCTTTGAAGCGTCAATCTAAAAATTAGGAAGTGATTCTCTGATTGGAAATTGATAAGGCTCATATTATTGCCTTCTCTGTATAGGCAACTACTAATTCTGGCAATTAGTAGTATTGGACATCTTGCTTGCACAAGGAAACAATTTGGGAAAATTCCTCCTTAAATTCACATCCGACTTTGAGGAAGCCTGAGTTAAGTCTATTTGGTGTGAGCACCACCTTAAATGATTCTTAGTATGAGGAAACGGGATTGAATTTTCGTTCCATTACTGATTCAGTTGAAAACGCATAAGACCTCTGCGAGAACGTATCGAGGTCATATCACCCAATTGGGAAAAAGTACCACTCCCTGTTCTTGAAAAGACGAAAAGTAGGATGGATAATGCCTAAATAAGTCATACTCTACGTCGTCGCTTTGACAGTAGGCCTGACCAGTTAGATGAAAGATAGGGAGAAAGGAGGTGAAGGACTGACCTTGATAACTTTACCCTTTTGAGTGTAGTGCTTAATGACAGGTTCAGTCTTCTCCTCAAAAGTCTTCAAACGCTGCACAATGGTGGCTTCGTTGTCGTCGGCACGACCGCTCGTCTCACCGCGTTTGAGAAGACGCTGCTTCATCACCTCCTCACTCACCTCAAAATACAGCACTGCAAAGCATTGGGCAACCTGTTGGACCAATTTAAAGTCAACAGTTGCAGTACGCCTCACTGGTAATGCTACATGGACAGGCGAGTCGTTCGCCTCCCGGCACAATAGGTTGGCGACTAGGGCTTTTTATACTTATTTGTCTTTCATAATCTGCCTTTTATTTTGTCACATTCGTGAAGATGCAGATAGAGGGAGGTTGACTTATCATATCCGAAATGTGGTATTATTAAAATTTCAAAAGGAGTGTTGGGCTTCCCGCATCGCCACCGCACCAAATACATATTGTAAATCACAATTGGAATCTAAAGGGGATTTTTTGTCCGCAAAACAGTCAAAGTGTAAAAAAACCACATCGTTTCACCAGGTTGTAAAAAAACCAGCTGTGAATGTTTGACTACCTGCCATCAGCCGTCACGGTTTCCCGAGATCTGATTGGGCGACTACAGTGAGTAGATATCCCCCAAATTTGATTGGCGGAAGTGAGGATAAACTACCGTTTGACCTTAGGGATTGAGCAATAATCTTGCAGGATAATGCCAACTCACCCAATTAAAGGTGACGCATCTAATTTCAAACATTTTTATGAAAAAAAAAAGAATTTTACAGCTTTGTCGTGTTCTTTAGCCGCTTAATTGACCCAGGCCAAAAGAAATGGACCTTAGCTGGGAGGATTGCGACAGCTAACCAGGGCCACAGAAGCCTGCCAAATGCTGAAATTGCTACTGAATTTGAATTAGGCGTTATACCGTTAACAAACTTTAAAAGCTAACGTCTGACTCAAATACCCAAAGAGTTAACATCCAAAATTGCACTTCAGGCACATTTAAATTCTTTTTGGAAGTGAGAAATAGTGGCTGAAATGCGGCGATAATGTGAAATAATTGAACTTTGTTTTAGACGATGTCACTGATATTCCATTTTAACGGTTCCCAATGGTCAGAAATAACAAAAAACCACAAATGTGTCAAGCCTTTTCTGGCTTTTAATTCCCATAAAAGTAATGATTCGATCTCATCTGTTGTTAAGGTAAGCAGAAAGACGAGAAGATAACTTTTTGGCGTCAGGAAATCATTTCAGTGCACAAAATTAGGATTACGTTTCTTGTCAAGTGCTAATTCTGGTGCATCCTCCTACACTGACAGATTCTCTTTTGATGCAATATGCTCTACTTGAATCAGCACACTATTTGGTTCCTTTTAAGGCTTTTAAGCAGTTACTTTGATAAAATTTATGGCAGAGGAAAGTAAGTAAGTTAGCTTGCCTCCTTTTCGAAACGAGTTCCTTGTTCAAGTTCACGCGGGTACCCGTCAATAAGGAAATAGGGACTCTTGTCGATGAGCTTCAGCATTGCATCCTTTATGAGCGCGAGGACGACTTCCTAAAATAACGTTAAACACTCATCGGATCTTGCAGCCCAAGTACTTAGATAGGTGGATTTCTAGTACTGGTAAAAGTGGTAGAAGCTACAACTTGGTCCGTTGGGGATGCTGTTCTAGGCCAAGTTGTCCCGATTTTGCCCTTCTTTCCTAACAAATATTTGCTTACCGATCGGGAATTAGGAAAAACGATTTTTTCAAACCAGAGTAATCACTTTGATAAGGCATATGCACCTACAGCAGCAAGAGTCCCTAACTTGAACTGCTATGCGTCAAAACTCTACGTTTTCTCTGTTTCAGGACGCACCTCATCAGCCCTACCGCTGTTCTCGGTTTTGAACAAATTAAGTACCTTTTGCAGGCCTGCTCAGATATGACAGGGCTGTAAAAACTGAAGAAAGCGACACCTTCTCATTGAGGAATGGTTATAGTACCTCGATGGAGCTCGACCGAAGAAGATACAGTCGGAATTATAGGAGAACTGCCATCAGTCTGTTATCATGAGGAATCCGTTAGTAAATTACCGCTTATACAAAAAATCGAACCAAAAATACTGGTTAAAATGCCCTCAAAAAGATTAGAAATACAAAAGAGACACTAATGATACTACTTAGTATAGGATGCTTTCTTTGTGAACTAACTTATCGTGCCAATCAAACGTTAGCTGGGCTTATTCCATGGAGCATCTAGATGATCGTTGAATGCCCATTTGTGTCGAGAATGAAAGACGATTTTTCAGGTGTACATCAGCAGGGGCCAAAGCTCAGGTATCAGATTTTTAAAGGCCGCGCCTCGGCCCGGAAGTGGCATTGCCTATTACCTGTCTTACCCGTACATCATATTCTGCATAAACCCTAGTAACCGGAATAAGGTATCTTACACGGGCTGGCAACATCAAATGTAATTCACTCAAATCACCCTGGATTGACGGGCTTTTCTAAACAGGAAAATTTATATTGTAATATTATGTTTAGTTTGGGCTGACTACTTGCCGGGTGGAAGGTGGAATTTGGAGAAGGCAGTGTTCTGTCCATGTCACATTCCAAGTCACTTGTAAGAGTGTAATTTATTCATGCAACGTTACTGATACCAAACAGCTGCACTTTTATGCCTAAAAGAGCGCGCAAAATCAAGAATGCAAATGGACACAGTGCACTAATTTGTCGTGCCATTTAGCACTAACATAGCTCAAAGGAAATTAAGTAAGCACTCCATAATCATGCCTTTGGATAAACACGAATTATGAAATTTCGGAGACCCTCCCACGGTGAACAACTCGCAGTAGCTGCGTTCCTTCCCACCCTGCGAAACTAATAGACAGCCTTGCCCATGGCCTATCAACGCACACAGGAGGGGAGAAATCGAGGGGCACGTTGAGGTGGAGGGCGACCCACACCCTCGACCAATGGCATTGCAGGAATACGTCTACGTGAACTGCAGAAAGGGTCCATTAATCGGGAGTGGCGCTGCGGCACATCGATGCCTCTACCACCTAACCCTGGTCGATAGATACGCAAGACGTGTTAAATGATTAGTCCGAATCGTCTTTGAATGAATAGGTGTCCGGATTGTAGATAAACGGTTTAGGGAATTCTTCTCGGTTGACATTGATTCAGAATCAAAGCGGTGATTTCCGCAAATTAGCAACCTAATGATATGATTCCAGGAGCAGGAGGCATTCGGTTGGTATTCAGCAGCCAGTTGACAAATGATATGATTCTTTGGCTGATAGAAATGCTTTAACTAGACGGTTTTGTTATAATGCACTTATCTCTGAATCCAAGTCCGGGCTTTATTCTCTCCCTCATATTGGCTTCACAACGGAATAAGTGGTAAAAATACGACATAATCGCACACACCTCTAACATCAACGTACATGTGCAACAATGTTATCTGGATGTAATGAAACTTTCGGATGTAAAATGGCGTAACTCCCATTGAAGACGACTGAGCGCGCTAACTTTATCAGCGAGTATTTAGAACATGCCACCATAGGAAAGGTGGGCAAAAATTCCAATTGAAATGTTCAGAAACTTAACCTCCCTTAAACCTAAGGAGTTATTTCAAAGAAAATGCCAGCAGAAGAGTCATTTAAAATTCCTTAATTAGCCTTTTCAGAAATTGTGGTCTTAGGACGCAAAAACTAGGTAAAATAATAATTATTTGCAAAATTGCACTAAAGATATTATGAATTTCGCTTAAGATGTGGGATTTTAAAGCAGCACTGTCTTAAGGAATTGGTTTGACAAAAAAGATAAATAATTTGCAGTCTTTTGAATTTATTTCAATAAACAGCTCAGAAAAGTTCGAACACAGCATTGTTTTAATCACCACCAAGGTTTTCCGCATATTGAACTGGTGAGTCATTCCTAGATAACAAAATCTCCCGAGTAACATTGTTTGTCCTGACCATAAGTTTTCAATAATTGGCAAGTCTATTCTATGTACATAGACTACTTGCTTCCAGCTAGACAACTCAGACTGCCGAAAAGGGTTGCAGGTCACCCACGGGAGGTTAGAAATGCTCCGCAATAATTGATACAAGGCTTCGAGGATAAAATTCCTCCACTTAGTCAATCCACTCGACCCTAGGTTAGAGAGGGAGGGGAGGAGGAAAATAGACTGAGAAAAAAAGTGGATGAATGCGACTGAAATACCACGCGCCACTGGCTGTTAACTGAAATATTTTCCTCTAGAAGAAGAATTTGCAAATGGACTAGTCTGCTCAAATTTTACACTCTCTTAACTGAATAGGCCTAGTTAGTTCTCGTATGATGGAAATTTCTCTCCCAACATATGCCGTAACGGTCTGTCGATGCAGAGAGAGAATGGGGATAGGAAATCTAAACGAAACGATGCCTACCAAGGAGACGAGTTCTCCCTTCTCCATGATAGCCTGCAGCTCCTTGCCACGAGGCGATCCGGATTGGACCTCATCGCGAAGGAGATCACCGCTGGAGAGGTGGTTGAAACCGTACTTGGCCACGATCTTCTCGCATTGTGTGCCCTTGCCACTGCCTGGACCGCCTACATAAATTAAAGCGGCAATAAGGGAATGGAATCAACGGTCAGCTATAACTTTTACCTAGTCATCTTACACAGTGAATGCAGTAAAGTGTGGGTAAACCCATAATTACCCGTCGTGTAGTCCATGTCGGAGTGTACGCGGTAGCTAACCCCCATAAAAGAGGTAGCTCTCACTCTACCCCTGCCAGACGCGAAGCTCTTCACTGCCAGCATCACATATGCATGAGACTGGGATTTTTTGCAAATTTATGACAACTTGTTGCACTAAATCGTGTCACAACTAGAGTTTTTGGCTGTAAAGTAATGGCATACCTGTAGAGCGTTTTGGATCCGTTGATTGTTCAATCTTTCGGTTTTTGCTCAGCAGTTGAATTAGCAAAAGAAAAATTAACGTCATTTAATGGCACATGGGAGTGATAAGACGTGTGCCCGGTGGTGGTTATTCCATTAAGCTCCTAGTATCAAGCGCCCTAACATCCTGCTGTGAGATTTAGCATGCTTGACAGGGCAGAAGGCGTTGTTTCGATTCCGGGAGGAAGCTTCGATTTGAGGGATCTGGCACGTTAACCTATCGAAAGCGGTGGGCGCTGGTTCTGATACACCTTCTTTTGTGAACCACTTACTCTTTAAGCTTTCAACAAAGAAGACCTCGATTCTCGGAGGTACAACATAATCGCGCGCTTTTTCCCCATGGAGCTGCATTTACATGCCCACCCAAGTAGAGGGCGTATTCCGGCATCTTTTTTAACAATTAAACTACATGAGAGGTTGGAAAGTTTGGACAAGTCATTGACTTTGAGTCGGAGTTGAAAGTCATTAACATATTCCATGACATGGCCTGAGAGCCCATTCCGCACACCCAGAAGCAGTTTTTGGAACAGGAATGGTGAGAATGTGCAAAACGTTGCCTTTTATAAGTGATTCCAAAGTCCAAGGTGCCGTCTCCTATGATTTGAATCCGCAGAACGCGGTGTGATGTTTCCTCGCATCTGCTACTTCCAGCTGACTAATTTGTGCAAAGTCTGAAGCGGTGCTGGCAACATGAGGAGTGGGAAAAGCAACACATGTGTGAGAAAATGTTGTGTGGTTGGAGGGGATGCTACAAAGAGAAGCATTTTTACTAGCCCTCTTGAAGGCGGCAGCAGGGTACATGACTCACTTGTCACTCCCGTTAACCCCAAATAAACTGAGCAATGCATAGGACCTGGACCACCCCGTATGCTGCCTGAACTAATGGTTAACCTTCAAGTGAATTTAGGGTCATGTGGGCGGTTCTTCCATTTGTTTGACAGACACAAATTTGCAGTCCAGTAGGGGGGTTTCAAATGGCATCAGACAAATAACCAGCTTGAACGGAGGAATTTGGCAATTAGGAAAACTAGCGTCTTAGAAATGAGGTGAATTAAACCCAGCTAATTTTCATTAGTTTCATCCGAATCATTTAATGTTAGCCTTAAGGCATCAAATCTGTTGATTCACTCTTCACACAGAAATTAAAAGACCACAGAAGAAGCACTAACCTACAGGCAGGCTTTTCAATGTTTAAATGTTTACAGATTGCTTTTAAACTATTTTGCAATAGGTTGATTGTTTGCTTAGCACTCGATTTTGGTTACGAGCCCCAGAGGACCTCCGCCACTGTTCGCTTGGTTAAATGCTCCATGTCATTATATCAACAAAAATCAGTCAAAGAATTGCGTTTAGCCGAAACAACCCAAATTACTTCTCTTAATACATTTAGCCATATGGAAGAGGCAGTTATGCTGTGATAAACATCCTTCCTCCATCACCCGTACAGGAAATTCACCCACCAACAACCATCCACATGGGTAGTCAAATTTTACTCGCACTTTATAGATCCAGTTGAAAAAAATCGTGATTTGGATATCGAATTTTTAGATTTTCTTACATATGTAACACTACAAATAGATATCCCTTAAGCAACTTTTTCTAAATAATAAAGCCCATGTAAAACTAGTGTAAAAAATCATCCAATGACAAAAGACCTCAATCTAACAATAAGGAAATTTGAGAAAATAAAATATTCATCAAAGGACTTATTTTAGCATTAGTTAATGGCAGTACTTGGGATGGAAAAGCTGTGAAAAGAGTAGGGGGCGCACTCACCAAGGACAAAGATGACCTTGGCTCCCTTGAGCTTCTCGTCCACCATATCGCCTCCAAAGCCTTTACTGCAAAGCCCCCCTATGTTGAAGCCGGGTAAAATTTAAATTTAGCAATGCGTTGGTGCGCGTGTCTCTGTGGTGTTGAACAACGCTGACAAACGCGCTATCGCCTTGATTTGCACCAATCGCGAGCCTCTGCTCCCCTCTGCCGTGCGCACGTGCCGCCAGGCTATCGATTTTTACCGCTTCAGCAAATCAGAGGGCGCCTTTCTTGCACCTGCCATAGGTTGAACCTGGGGAAGTGGGTTTAGCACTGGCCAATTGCTGGCTTGGGTCCTGTTCACTGCTGTTTGCCTGTGCATCGCCTTCATTTCCTACTGTCCCGCTTTTTTTGGGGGGGGGGGGGGGGGGCAGGGTTAAATCCCACTCCCAAGGCCTTTTGTGAAACCCCAGAAAAAATAATTTTAAATTAGGAATCCAAGTGCTAAAAACTGGAGCTGTTACCAGACAGGCGTGCATAGTTAGATTTAAAGGCGGACAATTTGTCTAAATCTAAAGAGCGACTCCACTGGAGCGTAAATACGCAGGAGAGTCTAGCGACATATTCTGCAAACCGCTAGGGCATTGTAATTCAGCTAGTTGTTGAATTCATTAAAGACCACCATTGGTATCTTGACTGACACATGGGAAACTAGTGTACAAACCCATCTAAACGGTGCAATGGACCCCCCAATAGGGAGTGAAATTTACAAATCCTAACCCTACGTGTTCCTCTGGATTTTTAGCAGCGCCCTAAGACTTCCCTGAAGACGAAGGAAGGCATAATAATCGAGCAGAATATGTACTGTCGATATACAGAAGGGCTGGGGAGGCCACTGGCATTGCCTTGAGGCCAAACCATCCGGTAAAAGGTATAAAAGCGAAGCTCCCAAGTGGACCGTTACCGAAACCGAGGCTTAAACAAACAGTTAGTGTATCATACTTTATAAACGATTGCAGCTATTTCTAAGACTCCATGCCATGACTTGTCCACACGAAGCAAAATTTGATGCCATTTCAGATGGCATTTCGATCGATAAATTCAAAAAAACTGACCTATTGATCTAGTTTAAATACATGCATGATATTTGTTTGTTACTTCATGTATGGTGAATGAAACAAGGCATGGGGTCTAAAAAGTCGAAACCGGTTGAAAGTGGACAAGATTTGCTGACATCTAGAGGCAATACCGCGCACAGGTCAAACCAGAGTAACAAACGTCACGCCTCTTCAACGGAGTCGTGTGTACAAACGGGTCCAGTAAAAATGTACACAAGTATGAATTTGATCGAACAAGGTGCACAAACTGAACCAGTTTTAATTCGACCGCTTTTACCACAAAAAGTTTATAACTCCTTGAATATAGGCAATGGTGACGTAGACGATATCTCCATATTTTCAGACGTCACTTCACTATCAGCTGATGTCTCCTTCTCGAGTGAGGTACAATTGTCAAATCAGGTTAAGGGAAACGTCGACCCCTGTACAATGTCCCCAGACTCTGGCTGTTTCACATCAAACACTTATTCCGAGGATACACAAAGGACAAAGGACACGGTATTTGAAGGAGCAGAAGCACCTGTTCCTACCAAGCGACATCGCCGTGTGCCCGAGTCTCAGGAGGCCCTACCGAACCTGGACGCCGCCAATTTCGAGTGCAGCATGTGGGTACCAGCAGAGGAGGTGGCGAGAATCTTCGCGACGTCGAAGGACCGCCGAATAGAGGCGATTGCACGCGCCTGCAACTGCCAGTTCCTACTCACCGACACTCTGCGGGTGAACAAGAATCTGGGCTCCCAAAAACTCGTCTACATTTTCTCTAACGCACTAGCTGATCTGGAGAAGTGTAGGAGCATTCTTGATGAAAAATTCCCCACCTTCTATGTCAAATCCTCTGAAGTGGTCCATCGACAGGCGCCCGCGTAGCGCCGACACTTCCGCGGGAGAGGCGAGACTGTATATAACTTTGGTCAAACTCATGCATCCATACTACATTTTGCTATTAAAATGACAATTAAATGAAATGATCCATTCACATTTAAGGTGCTTCCAAATCAGGTAAGCTAATTTTGGCTTTGTAGTTAAAGTAGACGCAACTAGATTGATTCGATTAGAGGTCTTGGAACACCATCTTAGCTCAGTTGCTATTTTTTCCGCTGTTCTACCGAGGTCAGTCCTACGAACTGCAAGATCGCCTAAGTTAGGTGAGGTATCAGTGAAGCTAGGGTTGCAAATAGCACTCTTTTTGGTATCACAGCACAGGCAGTTTATTATGCAAATGGACAATCGGATGTATGCAAATGGTGGTTTTCTCTAGAGTGCTTGTGCGGCCTCATTACCGACATCAGAGAAGGGACATGGGGATGGACAAACTCGTAGCCCATCAAATGTGAAGGTACACCGATGTAATTCATTAGAAGGCAACACAATTTCCTTCGGATCCAAATTTTATGTTATTACCTGACCTTTTACGACATTTTAGAAGTGGATTCAGTATGGAGGGGGTTGAGGACATCTTGGATTATCTTTACCCCAACTTCGTTCATCAGACATTTGTTTTCCTCTCTAAAATGTGGAACTTGGAAAAAATTCCGCTCCTGCAGCTCCAATTAGCCAAAATTTCAGGCGTAATTTTGGCCTAGTTTTCACTAGTCTGTCGATGCACCTGAGAAAATAAGCGCAGATGCACGACTCAAAATCATGATTCCAACTTTAACGCTAAGGGGTTAAGAGTAAAATTAACTACGATATTATTACTTTATTCATTTCATTCATTATTTTTTTCTAATATGGATCCATCAATCCGTTGAAGTACCACGACACCAATGTAACTAAACCCAAAAGGGTTTAGCGCCCTAGGCTGCCAAATAAAACTTGCAACAAATTGTTATCATACTGTATGCGGAGGTTAAAACCCCTGCAGCCGTTTGGGCGCGCGACTTTGAGCTTTTAGATGGCCCGACAGAGCATCCAGCTTACGGAGTTATCTCAGCATGAACGACGCAGCTGTAAAACAAAAAAGCAAGTTCCCGATCCACTTGTGGCAGCAGGCAGCAGCTACTAAACTGCCATAGTCAAGCTGCCTTTATTTGTTTGGGTCTTACTTTTGTTAGAAACCCTGTCAAAATTTGCGTTTCTGGTCTATGATGTTTGAGGCATTTTAAATGGTTGCGTCAAAAGTGACACCCTCCACAAACCTCTTTTATTTTATCAAGTAACAATGCTCCTTTCTTTGCACCTAGAATACTCTTTTATTCATAAATTGCCTTAAAATCCCACGAAATACCATCGATATGAACCACACTTCGTTACCTTGTTGGAATAGAGAACCGAAAAACAGAGTGATTGTCGAATAGTTCAGATTTCTTGTCCGCAGAGAACTTATTCATCATCAACAGAGGTCTCTCTTTCATCCCCTTTTCTTGCTGCGTGAGGCACATCCATCAAACCGATTCCATCACTATCATCAATACAGTACTCGATTTACTTCCAGACATTAGAGGACATATAAGCTCCTAAATGGGAAGAAACACTGAAAGACTGCTAGGAGAGGGGGTGCAAATCGAGCGCCATACCATCGGCGTGAAGGTCGGATTTCAGGAGCCCTGAAGAAGGCCATCACCAAAACTGTCACACATTTTGAATGCAAATCCAGTAGATGAAGAATTTTTTCTAGATGATCTGTTCATTGTGATGGGAGAGGAGAAGCGTGTGATGAATACTTGCACAGGTGACAGAACGTCAGTACTAAAGCACCTTTAGACTAGCTAAGGGGCTGATTAAATTGACATGCACGGCCACTCGCTAGTCCAGTCTGTTTTTACTGAAGTTAATGTATGGGGCGTTCAAATATTTCACAGCCCACCCCTTCTGGTAAGACCTAAAGTTCTTATTTCTAATTTGAAATGAGTTTTTATATCTTGTTAAAAAATGCAATCAGATATAAGCTAGTCGAACACATTATTCCGTTCACTGCGGTGAATACAAGCTATCACATTTTGGGAAAAATTACATCCTTTTGTCCATTCTATGATAGTGGAGTATCTTGCTGGTACTTGTTCACAGGATATGCTACTGATAACTTCTTTTCAGTAGCTAGAACATCCTGCAAATCAGCCTGAATCCTTAGGATAGGGTTCACTTTCTGCTGCCACCAAGGTAGTGCTCCTAGACTTTCGTGAAGTCAAAAAATGGGTACTGCTAACGTACGGAAGAGCTGGAGTTTTAATAGCATGGGAAAAATACAAAACTCGAAGTGGCCCCTATCCCTCCGATTTCGCGAGACCCACTGATCCCCCTTCCCTTCGGGATCAAACGGAAAAGTTCTCAGGTATGATTGTCTTCTTCTTAAAAAGCGCTAGGGATTGGTGATGGTGGTGGCAGTGGTGCTGTTCACTGGGAGGGAGTAGAGGCGCAGGCAGATCGACTTGAAGGGAGCAAAGAAACGCACCCAACTTCGTTGAAACGATGAAGACCTTAAAAGAAGAGGAAGCTCCATGGCAAATTCTGAATCTCCAACACTAATGATCAATATTCATTACAAGTGAATGAAGATTTCAACAAATAACCGACCGTATTCACATTTTTCCTCGGAAGAGGATGCAAGAAAAACTGCTTACATGGGATCTGCGAGCCAAATAACGCATACCTAAAGCTACCGAACTTCCAGTCAATTTAAAGTATGGCACAGGCGCATTCCTTCTACCGACTAACATGGATTTAACTCGTTTTAGTTTGATGGATTGCATCCACAGATTCGCAAGTACGTATTAGAAGCTACGCTTAAACGGGATTGAAAAATGGAGAGAGGTAGTTTTGACCAAGTAACCAAATACCGTACTTTGCCGGAGGCAGAATTCGCAGAGTCTCATCAAAGGAGGTGAGGAAACTAGAAAACTCCTGGAAGGTCCACTGGGCACCCACCACAACCTCGATGACCTGAAAGTGTGGAATGGGAATAAAAGAAATGGGGAGAGAGGGATAGAGCGTGTGCACCATAAATTTGGGACAAAAAAGGCGGGAGGGGGAGATGATCATCACGAACCTTCTCCATGATGTCCAGAAAGAGGTCTCGCACCTCTTTTGCGTGCGACAATCCCGTCGCGATAGTTGTGATAGCCTTGGAGAGAGTCTGTAACGCAATGTGGGATAATTATGTCTGAAAATAGGATGGAAATAGTATCAATGCGATACTCGAGGACGCACCTTGAAGTTGAGCTCTATCCCATTCAGGCAGGACTCCGAGACCGAGGAGGATATTTGACGAATGACGAGGCTAAAGAAACGACGGGGTTTTTTGACCGAGAATCAAATAAAAAAATGCTTTAAGGTTTTACAGCCCCCGACCTGTTCTCTAGGATCCTTGTCACCAAGTCGACATAACCAACTGCCTTGGCACAGCTAAGGTATGATGTTGACTGTTTAGAGGTACACACACACCATTTGAGCTCCGCTAGCCGAAGTCAGGCATAGCTGGTAATTGCCATTTACCTCTTGTGTCGCTCAAAATAGGTCTGCTTCTCCGTCAGCAACTTGAGGACCTTCAACTCGGTGCAGAACCCGAAATCAAGTTCCAAGTCCACTGGGGAGTCTAATTTGCTCTCCAGATTGTCCGCGACCGTCCAGTAGGTCATCAGTTGCTCTGCGCAATACGTGAAGTCGGCAAAGGTGGCGCCCGAGAAGCAGCGCTTCGAAGTCTCGAAACTATAGCATGGAAAAAAGTGGTCACTTTGAAGTATCCAGATATTTGGGTACTTGTTCTCAAGTAGAAATTGTCAAATTTACCTTTGACTACGCAGATCTCTTCGGTTTCTTGATGTGCTCTGATTGTGCTACCTAAGCAACCAGTCGGGAAACCCTTACGTACGTTGGTGACTTCAGAAATAACTTAAGTCATGCATTTGGGACCACGGCAGGGAGAACGTCCCAGGAGGAAGTTTAGGGAGAATGAATGCCATGTTTGAAGAACAGAGGAGAACGTCTGCTGTGGATCAAAAAGGCTATCGAAATTGGACCAATTTTTGATAATAATCCTAACCTGGAGTCCTGCATGATGCCCGATCAGCAGATAAGAAAATGGAAGAACTGCCTACGTAAAAAATACTGAACTATGAGGTTCATTTGAAAATGGACCACCTTTGAGTTGCTAAATAATGCCTCACACAGGCGACCGGGCGATATTAAAACAGCACCAACGCTGAAAAGAGAGGGAATGGGGAGCGAATTTTCCCAAATGGTTCTGCTTTAGGACAAATAATCCCATACTAAGGGCACCTGCCGCAGAACAATAAGTGAATTGGAGTGTGGCAGATTGACCCATCAAAGACCACAAGATGCACGGTAACCGTTGCATTTTGCGGAAGGTGCATTCCCTGTAAGACACTTTTTTCACCAATAACACCATTTTCTCCACTTTCAGAGTTGTCTACCAAACACGCACTTCGATGGGTGAAGTTATCAACGCGATGTGATTCATTGTGTGAGCGTTTTGTGGATAAAATACCTCAACAACATCACAGCGATTCGCCAAGAAAATCATGGACCATGGAGCCTTACTTATTGTTAACTTCTTAGTTGCGATTCGAAAAAGACTGCTCGTTTGTGTGAAGACTGGTCGGGGTTTCTTTCCAGTTTGTTCTCAATAACAATTCGATGGGAGCATACTTTGAGACTGGACCAGCATTGTGCTCCGTGTGCAAATCCAGGCTTGAATCATCGTGAAAATACAACAAAAATTGCCGGAAGAATGTCAAAAAGAAGTGTTAAAAACTACTCATTTTCCAGAAAGTGCGTAAAATATGACATTCGTCATTTGAATCAAACAGTTAGCTAACTTATCGAGGTGTGGCATAAATGTCAGAAAGGGATTTAGGAACAAACTTCACTCCACTAGAAGCATTTCCAAGCGGGATCTGAATCAGAGTTGCGGAAACAAAACTGTATGTTGTTCGTCTCTGGTTTCCGAGACTTGGAGAAAAGCAGAAAATTTCCTTTAGAAGAGCAGTATGAAAGCCTGGTTGAGATAGAAATATCAACTCTGATGAAATGTAGGAAAGCACGGCGGTCGCCAGTACTAGCTGCTGAATTAGCACGATTTCAAGTCCCTAAATAATTGGCAGAAAAGTTGTTGGATCCGAATCAACCAGTAATCAAGGAGATGGCGGAATGATAATGAAGTGGGGACGATCATGTGGAGTACTAGATTAGACTTGCTTACCCAAAAATGAGTTAGGTAAGAACACTTCCACATAGTTTGCATGAAGCCAGTTTAAACCTGCACCTTTCATGACCATCACAAGCAAAGGCCTATTTGACAGTAATGACCAAGTGACAGATAACCACCGACAAAGTTTTATTGAACCTCGGGAAGATCGGCTCAATAAATACTGATTTGATTGACTTTTGCCGGATAATGCAGGCACAACTTCGCCTTGTGGTCGTCAATTACAACAAAGAATTTGGTAAAATTGGCTTTCCATAGAAGGAACCGGCCAAATGAAAATAGTATTTTTGCATAGACACAGAGATTTGCATGAAATTGTGTTTAAAGGGGAAAGTAGAGCATGAAGGTGGCATGTGTAATGTGGGTGAATGCATGGCACATGGCCACAGCTGCTCTTCCTATAATAATTATTTACGGCCCTATGAGGGAGGAAGGCAGTCAAACATACCGATAGCCTAAGGAGAAAATACAAACAGCTTATTCGCTGCAATTACATAAATACAAACAAAGACGTGCTTGAATTGAGGAACCATTTCACGTAGAGTAGCACGAATCCTCAATGAATTAAACAAAGTGAGGAATTCACCCCTCTTGATTTTCAAGCAGTTAACCGGGAATGCATTGATAAATAAAATCAAGAAGTAGATCGCAAATGACTTGGACAAAATGCTAGGGAACCATGTCTATTAAAACCAAACAAGACAGAGCTAATGAAAAATACTGTTCAAAGGACTCTTGTAACAAAAAATCTAGAGTAGCGAATTGTTTACTCTTTGTATGCTTTGACCAAGAACTTTTTTCACAATAATTTCGTTGATTAAAATAGCACATACACAAGCTAAGCTGCACGGACTGTACCAACTACTGAACTGGATGTGAAGTCGTTACCGCTATAAATGGTTAAAAATTATGGCAGCACAAACAGAGTGGATGCACACTTAAGGAAAAAACGCGCAAATTTGAGCGGATGATGCGTGTCTAAAGTCGATTAGCAGGACAAGTAAATGAAAAGTCATGGGAAAATAGGCTGAAGATCACGCAACTATGCAGACTGCAGTTTTTACGAAATGCGGCGATAAGGCAATAAAACCCACCGATTGACCGAGAGAAAGATCATCGCGGCATAGATTTCAGCAAGCGGGGGAGGTAGAGCAAAAGAGCGGCGAATGATGTCGCACAGGCGACCGGGCGTATCCTCCACCAGTCGCGCGACACGCCGGAGGTTCTCGTATTGGCGTCGACAACTGCGCAGACGAAGACCGCATCGCTCCGCAATGTCGACAAGATCACGACGGAAGCGTGCAGAGAGTTTGCTGCCAAGGAGTTCACGGCACAGCGTATCTTCCAAAGAGTAGTAGCTGGGGAGAGAGTTGAGTGATTACTCTACTATTACGGAGGCCGACTTGCAAGGTGCATGGACTGTGTCAACTCACCGTTCAATAAGTTTTTTACGTAGCCTCCAGTCACCAAAACAAAAGAAGGAATCGGTAAGGAATACGTCAGGCCGAGCCAGTAAGGATTCGAGGAGGGTGAATTGAGCATACTGATCAGCGACGAAGGTCATCAAGAGGTCGAAGGAGAGACAGAACGCATCAACACCTGGCTGAAACTGCAAGTTTCGAGCGGTTTCCTCGACTTCGATACATAAACACCCGAGTAATTAGTCAATAATGTTCGCATTGTACATTGATCAATTTTAACAAGAGACAACAGTGAGAATAATACTAGAGGGTGCAAAATAGAGTCCCATGTAACTGAATGTACGTAGGAGCAAGAGAAAACTAAAGATAACCACAAAATGCAATGAAAAATACATAAAAAAGTTGCAGGGAGATAACGGAAGCATTACAAATTATTGATGTTCGAGTTAAACATAAAATGAAATACCTGCAAGGAGGACAAGTCAGAGCAATAAAAGCGTTTAGTGCAAATCATCAGATTAAAAATACCGATGTTACCCGATGAACCATCAATCCAGAACTCAAAAACGTCTTCATTGAAGATAAAAGGAGTGCTACAAACGACATCAAACAATTCCAAGCCCATGTTACACACACCACAACAATTAACCCGCTGGTAAGTAAGGCTGAAATAAAGCCATTAAAATAAATACTAAAAAGATCAAATTAAACCTAGTAAAAGTAACAAAAAGCAATGTCAAGTTTATTAGTGATGAAAAAATGGTTTTGCTGACATGTCAACAGGAGAAGTTATCAGTAACTATCAATAAAACTAAATGATAAAAATAAATGAAAAGTCGACACAAAAAGGCGACTTGCATGCAAATCTACAGAGCCCGGTGATGAACAAAAAAGCAGTCGCTATTGTGTACAAATGGGAAGTAGACGTGAGAAAATTTTAAGATCATCCAAGTAAGAAGAATACGTAAAAAGGTAAAAAGGTATATTGAAGCATTAAAAGGAACTTGTGCAATACGTGTCCATATCTAGAGAAACAAGCAAACAGTTGAAATCAAAAAAATAGGGGATATAATCCTAAAACCGCTAAGTTTTTTATTT